GTAATTTATTTTTAAATACTTCAGCATCAACTGAGAGATGTGTGCTCTTTTTAATCAACACCTTAGGAGCGATCCACTAACATGTGAAGTCCTCTGATCAGGGATACATACTCCAGAGTGTTTCATTAGCTTTGAAAGGCTCTAATCGGAAGTCCACACTCTAGAGGTAGCTTCTGCAAGAGCTTCAGCAATCTTTGTCTTCCTTCAGCACCAGAGCGTTTATTCATTTGTATAATGGGTTTACAACTAGTTTTTCATTAATGAAATGAGTTGTTCACAAGATATATGGATGACTAAGAACACGGTAAGGGCCCTCCATGCTTGTGTGCACAGAGTGTAAGAATTTTTCAAGCTCAACAGCTTACACCTTTCATAATGTCCCACCAAGCCTAAGACTCCATCTGGTCTTATGCCACACACACATAACAGATGATTCTATGCTGTCTGGCCTGAATCTGACTAGTAGCCCACATGAATTCTGCCACTAGAACATTTTCTCATCATGCAAGATATGTGTCATATAGAGAACAAACATCTCATCAAGCTTAGAAAAATACTTATGTGTATTATAGTGCCTGCTTATCAGTAAATGTTTATATATAGAGCAGAATTTGGTCTGGGTCTTACTTTCAGTGCAACCTACACATACCCCTTGGATGGGTAGCCATAGTAGAGGGGATCTCTAATCCTCATCTTGTTTTAACTAAGGCAGGCCATAGATACCTTTCAAAAAGAACTTAAGAATTATGAGAGCCAAATTGGCTGCAGTCTGTTTTCCACAGCAGGTCTCCTTGGTTTGTTTTTAACAGTGCTAGCCATCCTTTCCCGCCACTCCAGGGAGGAAGTTATCCAAGGTGGGTCAATTCAACTGGGCAGCAGGAAGGAGCAGAATCCCATGGAAAGGTGCCCAAGTTCTACCAGGGAGATAATACCAGTCCTGACAAATCTGCTGGGTAATGCAAGGACAAAAATAAGAAGACTGCTTGGTGACTGGGAGAGCTGAGAGAAAGATGGAAAGGGGTGTGAGGCCCTGGTTAGGATGAGTGGGTCAGGACTGAGGCTGTGACCAGCAGGTGACTGCCACAGCACACCTTCGTCATGATGCCAGAACACAGCATGCTAGCTTCAAGGAGCCACTCCCAGCTGGACACCAGCCAGCTACCCACGGCCAAGCTTATTACCTATTGCTCCTCCAGCACCTCCCGAAATCTGCTCTGCCTCCCGCGTTTACTGTTCAGCTAACGGCATCACCCTCCACATGGGAATCACCCTGGGCACCTCCAATGTCATCTCCCCAATTTTAATCAATCACCAAGTCTAAAAACTTCTATCAACAAAATATCTCTTGACTCCATTATAACTGGCCCACAATCAACTGCCTTGGTTCTGGCCCTATCATCTCTCCTGTGGGCCATTGCCACAGCCCACACTACAAGAGCCTCCTTGCTGGTCTTCATACCTCTATCCCATGTCTCAGCTGCCTGTCTGGGTCTCCCACTCTTCCCTGGATTCAGGGTTGCTCTGGTATTCTAGTAGTGCCTCCACCCCTTGGTTTTTTGTTTTTTGCTTAAGCTGTTTTAGTTTTTAGTCCCTTGTGACCAGAGAATATTTAATTTAATTTAATTTAATTTAATTTAATTTAATTTAATGCAGCACAAATCTTTAATATGATATTATTTCACTGCTAACACAGAATTTCTGGCTTATGGTAAAAGTATATATTTAAAACCCTGTAGAGACTCCACCATTGTTCCCAGTACATCAAATTCTAGAGCATAGATTATTAGAACTGTTTTGATTGCAATGGAGTTAGAAACCTAATTAAGACTAGCTTGAGTGAAAAGGGGAAGTTGGTTGGTTCACTTAACTGAATTATAGCAAACACAACGGTTGTGCCTCAGGGACTGGAATCAAAGACTCAAATATTACTGGAATTCTTCCTCCGTGTGTTGTCAATGTTGTCTTCTCCATGCACCTGGATCATAACCTGTAGCAACTTGGGCCTCACAAATGCTAAGCTGCACCCATCTTTTTAAGTTCCAATATGAAAAATCCCAGGGAGGGCCTCCTATTGGTCTGGTTGGTATAATGGACCTCTAGTCTAAGGAATATGCCTTGGATGGGGTCACCATGATTGACTCTATATGCCCCTGGACAGGGGCCAGATCATGATACATCATTAATGTTGATGACAATGGAGCACTCGGATAACCCACCCAAGTTCTGGCCGTGAAAACATAGCCAAATAATTTTCTCCCTGGTCAGCTAATCCCTAGCAATATGACATAGAAGTTAAGCCCTTAGGCTCTGGAGTTAGAGGTGTGTGGGTTCAAATCCCAGCTCTCCCAACTATTAGTTGTGTGACCTTGGACAGTGTGCATAGCCCCAGTGAGCCTCAGTTTCCTGATCTGTAAAATGGGGAGGGAAGTATAATGACATTGTGTGAAAATTTAAGGAGGCAGGGCATTGAGAGCACTTAGAACACAGCCTGGCTCTTGGTGTACACTTGTCAGCTCTTCCTGCTCCCAGCAGCCTTGGCATGAGTGGGCAGCCTTCAGAAGGCAGCAGGGCCTCAGGCTACTGCCTGCTGCCAGCAGAATGAGATCAGGGTTAATCAGAGGAACAGACTGACCTGATTCCCAGCACTCCAGTGAAGTGACCCATCTGACACCTTGGAGAAGACAGTGCCAGGAAGAGGAGTTGCTTGGCACATGACATTCTCCATAAGGAAAGGCTAAGGGGTCTTTTCAGAGTACCTTTGTCTCCCTGCCAGAGGAGAACAACATCTGGGAGGAAGTATTTCTTCAGCTTCACGGTTGTAATGCCGCCAGCCTTGCGGGTCATAGCCTGGAATCATCTCTTTATTAAATAATAATTAAGAGGCCCCTGTAAAGGGAATCTGGGTCTAATTACCTGACTCATTAAGCTACCCCGTTGAAACTGGGAGGTTGTTTTGCTCCTGTGGCCCCACTCTAAAGCAATTTTCACATTTCTGGAAGCAGCAAGTGGAGTATCACTTTTGTGGGGGGCTCAAACTCAAGGTCCTGTGTTTAAGTATACACGTCACTCAAGAAGGCTCCCACCAAGCATTCAGCTCAAAGGGTGAGTCCTCCCCTTTCCCGTACTGCAAGATCTAAATTGGTCTTGGAACGGAGAACACAAGGAAGGGCCGAGGGACCAGCTGGGCAAGGAATCAGCTCATTAGTAGCCTCTATGGAGGTGTTGAAATTGAGCAAGTTAAAAGCATATTAGTTTAAATGAGACTTTTCACAAATGAGGGGAAGTGTTTAGGTAGGAAGCAAATGTAATCATTTTGTGACGGGGCATAATTTGATAATTAATGGGGAAGTTGTCAGTATAATCTTGAGGGAGCCTCAGGAAATGAAGAAATCTGTCTTTATTAAGGGAAACTCAGGAGAAAAAGTTATTGGAATGCAAGCAATTCACCAGCAAGGTCCTGGTAGCAAGTCCTTATTAGATGTGTGTGTCGGGATCGTCTCTCCGCCACATCTGTGTGTTTTGTCTTGATTCACCAGGCCCACTACCTCTCCTAATGGGAATGTAGAGAATAGAGAACACTGAAGGCGGTTGTGAAGTAAACCCAGGCTTCTTTCTTCTTTGCAGATGGGCTGGCCAGCGTCTGCTGTGCTCAGCAGGAAGCAGGGAGAGACAAGTCTCACTGGCTCCCTGGGGGCCAGCCAGATTTTGACGCCCTAAAACCTGTGCAGCCAGGGTTCAGTTTCCCAGAGGGATGCCAGGAGTACGCTTTCATGGAATGTGCGAGCCCATGGAAGAGCAAGCCCATGGAAGCGCAAGCCCATGGAAGCACACTGCTAGTATCCCACTGGGAAAAGAGGACTCCCACTTGGCCAGAACAGGAGTCCCAGAGAAAAGCCCCACGAGGGTGCCTAAGCACAGTGATTAAGGCACGGGCTCTGGAGCCAGAATGCTTGGCCTCAGCTCTCCACTTGGCCACAGTTTCTCTTGACATTAAGTGTGCTATTCAAGGTCTCTGTGCTTCCATTTCCTGGTGCCTACCTCATAGGGCCAAGGATGGGAAGAGTGATTCTATGTAAAGGACCCACAGCAATGCCTGGTGCTGAAGGTCTGCTCAACAAGTGTCGTTAGCATTTGCTGTAACTACTAGCCATGTGTGGCATCTGAGCACTGGAAATGCAGCCAGGCTTGGTTGATATGTGCTGTAGGTTTAAAATGCACACAGAATTCAGACTTTGTGCAAGAAAGAGAATATAAAATATCCCAGTGGTAACTTTTAGATTATTGCATATTGAAATGATAGTATTTTTAATATTTTGAGTTAAATAAATACATGTTATCAAAATTAGTATTGCCTACTCTTATTAATTTTCTTATTATAGTAAAAAACACATAACATAAAATTTACACTCTCAACCACTTTTAAGTGTACAGTTTGGTAGTGTTAAGTGTACTCACATTGTGGTGAAACAGATCTCCAGAACTTCTTCATCTTGCAACTCTCAAACTCTATACCCATTAAAAAACTCCCCATATGCCTCTCTCTTCAGCTCTGGCAACCAACCAGTTCTTGTTTCTATGAATTTATATATTTTAGATACCTCATATAAGTGGAATCATACAGTATTTGACTTTTTGTGACTGATTTCTTTCACTTAGCATAATGTCCGCAAGCTTCAGCCATGTCAAATCATGTGACAGGATTTACTTCCTTTTTAAGGTTGAATAATACTCCTTCCTTTTATTTTTTTAAGGTGGCTATTAGCAAATGTAAAATGTATTTGTGGTTCCTATTCTATTTCTCCTGGATAGTGCTAGTTTAGAACTAGCGGTTCTCAACCCCATCAGTTCCAACCCCTCCTTATCACAATGAATTTGTAACACTCTCTTCACTCTCCTGAAATAAACTGTATAGATGAAATAACTGATATGCACACATAATTTTTTAAAAAAATATAATGACCTAACTGTAAGTATAAAGAATAAATAAAAGGAAAGAAATCTATAGAGAAAAATATATATTTTAATTTATTGTTAGACAAGAGCACTTAATACAAAATAATCAGACGCTTCAATGAATATGTAAAATCACCACTAATGAGATAGGTGTCAATGCAGAGTAGTCACTCAAATTTTAGAAGTGATGTTGCCAGCAGAAACGTGATATCCTGAAATGAAACAGTTCAATCAAATTCCAACAAAACAAAGTACAATTTTCTCTCTATTTATATGGTTACACTCTTACAAAAATACATATAAATTTAAATGAAGCAAAATATATAGGTATATATGGAAATTGTAATTAGGTTCTGGGCTCAGAGACTTCAAAATAGATTTTTCACCTAAATGAACACCCAATGAGATAACTACAAATCCAGAGGACCCCAGAGAAATTTTTCACTTTGCAGAGTTGCCCTCTGCATTGCAGAACATCTTGTTTCCCCGTGTCCCAGTGTATCTATCGAAGGCCTATACCACCCTTCAACCACTGGGACAATCAAAAGCATCCCCTCTACTTTCCAGTGCTCTCCCATGGAGGCAGCAGAGCCCCACTGAGAAGCAGCGATGCTGAATTGTGAGAAACACAGTGTAGTGATCCCAAAGGTCCACTGTTCAGGAGCTGCTCAGCTTTTCTACCTGGTGGTCCCATCCATCCGCAGTTCCCACCACGGCTTTCAGTAACTCAGTGTGAGGCGAGTCCTCTGGTCCAGCACTAACCACTCTCCAGCACAGACCAGAAGCCTGGATGCTGAAGTTTCTCCAGAACTTCAAACACGACAGACTCAGCCTTTTTCCCCTTAAACCCATGCCTTTCTTTGACATCCAAGTTTCACTGTCACCAGTGTTTTCTCAGGACAAGAAACTTACTCTCCTCTCCCTCCAACACCACCTCTGACCCTTAATAAGGCAGAATCACCAAAGCCTCTTCTCTCTTTGCTCATGGTTCCATTTCCCCTGCTTCCAGCTTCTCTGTCTCTGCTTCCAGTTTCCCTATCTCTCCCTTGGATCTGCAGGTTTCTCAGTGGCTCCTCATCGCTCTTCCTTACTCTAGTCTGCCACCGCCACTCCATCCTGTTCATCACAGCCCATGAAAACTGGGAAGCATGAGGTCAGCATTCAGTTCTTTGCAATCAGGCCCAATTTTCCTTTATAGTCCTCCAGAAGTCTCCACCAAGGGCTCTTCCCTTTCATCTGAGTGAGACGCAGCATAGCCTAGTGGACAAACGCAGGCTAGGATCAGCAAGAGCTATCCTGTGTTGACCTAGCCCTACACAGTCACGTGCTGCTGAATGATGGAATATGTTCTGAGAAATGTGTCTTTAGGCGATTTTGCCATTGTGCAAAACATCACAGAGTGAATGTACACAAACTTAGGTGGTATAGCCTACTGCACACCCAGGCCATGTGGAATGGCCTATGGCTCCTAGGCTAAAAACCTGTACAGCATGTTATCATGCTGAATACTCCAGGCAACTAGAACACAATGGTGTTTGTGTATCTAAGCACATCTACACATAGAAAAGGCGCAGTAAAAATATGGGATAAAAATGTTTTAATGGTACATCTGTGTAGGGCAGCTCCAAGATTATTCTTAGGGGACCACCATTGTATATGCGGTCTGTCATTGACTGAAATATGGGTTTCTTTTTTTCTTTTCCTTTTTTTAGAGACAGGTTCTTGCCCTGTCACTGAGGCTGGAGTGGAGTGGTATGATCACAGCTCACTGCAGCCTTGAACTCCTGGTCTCATGCCATCTTCCCACCACAGCCTCCCCAGGTAGCTGGGACTATTAGGCGTGAGCCACCATGCCTGGCTAATTATTTTCTCTGTAGTAATGAGGTCTTGCTATATTGCCCAGGCTGGTCTCAAACTCCTGGGGCCTCAAGTGATCCTCCTGCCTCAGCCTCCCAAAGCTCTGCAGTTACAGGCATGAGCCACTGTGCCCACCCTGAAACACGAGTTCCTATCCAAACTTCACTCCTAATTAGTTGCCTCTGGGTAAATGAGTTAGCCTCTATGTACCTCCTTCTTCCTCTGTGAAACAGGCTTCACCATATGTGCTTTGTGGTGCTGTTATAGATAATTAAGAATGTGCTTGTAAGACGCCAAGGACTAGGCTGGCATGTAGGAGAAACAGCCACTGCTGCATTCCTAGACCAAGTTTTCTCTTCTTCAGCATTGTTCCTTCTCTCTACACATTGAGCCAAATATTTGCACAAATTTCACATCATCTCAGTTAGATAGATATCCCATAACAGATCATAAGGGGAGTTGAAATCTCATTTCACTAGACATGGACTGAGACAAAGAAATATGTGTTTACTAGAAAACAAAGACAGCACTTTTGGTGGGCTGTAAAGTTCCCGAGGGCCATGAGAAGTAGTAACTGACGGGCACTGAGCCGGCAGGTAACTGACTGTACAGCTCTGGTTTTGCTGGGTGGGGTGGGTGTGTTTGGGAACTGTAGAGGCGAAAGAGACGGTCCACCCTGGCCCTTCAGTCCTGCATGCCCTCTGCACTCAGCCTCAGTCTCTCTAGCAGGTGAAATTCAAGCAAAGATTTTTAACACATCAATTTGAAGGAGTGTCCGACGCATGCCAGCCCTGGGTGCCTAGTGCCTTCTGGATATGGTGCATCAATGCTCAGGCTGTCATTCACAACTCCAGGGTCCACCTGCTCTGGGAAGCTTTTCCCATTCTGTCACTCCCTGGCCATCCTTCCCTTCTTGGAAGTCCCGAACACTTACCAAGAGCACATCTGGTGATCTTCTCAGTTGGGTTTTTTGTATCTCAGTGAGACAAATGATGAACCTCTCAGGGGCAAGAACAGCATCTTGCACCTCTTCCCATCCCCTATAACCCCAGGTCACAGCTATGCTAGGAGACAGGCAATGAAATGTGACATGAGTGAAGGATAGAGACAAATGTTCACAAATTCAGGAAGAAATTTCAGAGTGTGGGGGATGAAAGAAGTTAACTATGGGCTCACTTTCTCTGAGTTAGCCTGGGCGTGGTCTTGCTTAGAGGACAGGTGAGGTGGCCCAGCTGATGGTTTCATGGCACTTCTCTCATCAGTGGGCTCTGTTCTTTCCATCACATATGCTGGACTCTCAGAAGGATGCATCTCCCTCTGTGCAGATTTTGCCACAAATTACCAGACAGAGATCAATATTAGGTGTGGTCTCTGCCGACTAAAAGTTGACCGTCTCAGAGTGCCTTGAGGAGGTGGACTTGATATCCTAATAGTGCCTACCATCCGTTGAAGGGGGAATTATTTTGGCACAAAAAATTCAAGCATCCAAATGGAGGCCACTCCCCCCACCCCACAAAAAGAAAAAAAGAAAAGAAAAAAAAAAAAGACTTGAAAAGAAAAAGAGCTCATTCCCAAAGTTGTTTCTTCCGAAGATAGAACCTACTTGAAACAAAGTTTAACCTTTCTGGGGTTCAAGTTCATTTATTCTTTGCATATACAACTTCAGCAGCTTCTTTATTTCTAAGAACAAAGGCTTGTAAAAAGGAAAAAGTCTCTACGGTCTCCTTGGACATCAAATAGTTCTTCAGAGGAAACGCTTTGATGAGTTAAGTGTAAATGAGTAAGAAACATACGGATTAGATTTCTCATATAATACACACGGATTTAAGAATTAAGGGAAAATCTTTTTGGAAAATGTGGTTTGGATTTGGATTCTGCCTACTCCACAGACACTGATTAAGTTAAAAAAATATGGATTTTCCTTGTGTCTTGCTCTCCATCTTCAACCTCAGGAACTAGCACTCATTCTTTCTCAAGAGTGATGTTGGATAACCAAAGGCCAAGGAGGACTTCTAAATAGGGCACACACAGATGACTAATGTTCAAAAACCAAATAGGTTTTTGCAACAGACTCTCTTCCCAGTAGATTGGGTTTTAAAGCACATTTTGGAAACACCTCTCTATTGGCTACTATGGCTCACTAACCATGAGTAAGCCCTAGCCCTGTGTTTTGGTGAGATAAATACACCACCCTCTGGTAACCAGATTCTGTGGCTGGTAATCCCATTGCAGGAGGCCTCTTGCTACCCTTGAGTAGATGATTTTACCAGCTGTGGCCTTGATGTGACATTACGCATGTGCCACAAGTTGAATCCAATTGAGAATGTTTTCTTTGAGTCAGCACATGCTTTCACACAGTGTCAATCAGAGATTAAATGGGGTTAGAGAGGTGAAAGCAGTTGACACAGTACATGGCACATGGAAGGTGCTCACTGCATGGTGGTTCTATCTAAAAAAATTTGAAAATGGACTTTTGTTACCTCTGAGGATCAGAACTGCTCATCTTGCACAGTTTTACTAAGGAGGGTGCTGACTGCAAGGACCAGGCAGCCCTGCTTCCTGGCACCGACCACGCTGGGCAAAATGTCTCTGTCCAGGAAATTGGAAATCAGGTGAGAGATTCTACTTAATGGGCACTGCAGCTGGCTGGAATATAGAGTAAGCCATAGAATGTAGAGCAAGCCACTTTTCTCCTTGGACAGAGAGAGAGCCAGTAGAGAAAGCCCAGCTCAGACAGGAAGAAGGATGAAGCAGAAGCGCAGAGAAAACAGAAATGAGAGGCCGAATCTTCCTCCTCCAAATCCGCACCAGGTCCCCTCAGTGCTGCTGCCATGTATGGATCTTTTTTCAAAAGCTGCTTTATCAAGACATAATTCATATACTATGCAATTTACCCATATAAAGTGCACAATTCCACACCATATGCAAAAATCAACTCACAATGGATTAAAGACTTAAAGGTAAAACCTGAAGCAATAAAACTCTTAGAGGAAAACAGGGAAATAACTCATAGCCATTGGACTTGGCAATGATTTCTTCGATATTACACAAAAAACAGGTAACAAAAACAAAAAGAGAAAAGTGGGATTATACCACACTAAAAAGCTTCTGTATAACAGAGGAAACAACAATAAGTGAAAAAGCAAACTACAGAATGCAAGGAAGTACTTGCAAATCATTTATCTGATAAGAAGTTAATATACAAAATATATAAAGAACTCACATAACTCAATAGCAAAAAAAAAACCCTATTTAAAAATGGGTAAAGGACTTGAATAGCTATTTCATGAGACACGACATACAAATGAACAACAGGTATATGAAAAGGTGCTCAACATCACTAATCATCAGGGAAATGCAAATCAAAGTCATGAGCTAGCACCTCACATCTGTTAGAATGGCTATTATCAAAAAAGTCCCAAAAGATACCAGTGTGTGAGTGTAAAGGTGAGGGTGTGAAGAAAAGGGAACCTTTGTACACTGTTGGTGGAAATGTAAATTGGTGCAAACACTATGGAAAACAGTACGGAAGTTCCTCGAAAAGTTAAAAATAGAGTTACGGTATGATCCAGCAATCTCACTTCTGAGTATACATCCAAAGGAGTTGAAGTCAGGATTCTGAAGAGACATCTGTACTCTCATAATCACTGCAACATTACTCACAATAGCCAAGATATGGAATCAACCTAAGTGTCCATTAATGGATGAATGGATTAAAAAATGTGGTACATACATACAGTAGAATATTATTCAGCCTTTAAAAAAGAGGGAAATTCTCTCATTTGCAACAACATAGAAGAACCTGGAGGAAGTTGTGCTAAATGAAATGAGCCAGATACAGAAGGACAAAGGGTGCACAATCTCGCTTTTATGACAACTCTATAATAGTCAAACTCATAGAATCAGAGAGTAGTATAGTGGTTATCAGCGCTTGGGTGGGGAAGAATGGGGAGGTATTGTTCAAAGGGTATGAAGTTTCTGATATGCAAGATGCATAAATCTGGAGATCTACTGTACAACATAGAGCCGACAGTTACAATACTGTATTGTATACTTAAAACTTTGCTGAGAAGGTAGATCTCATATTAAGTACTCTTGCCACAAAAGAAACAAATTTATTTAAAAAGAAATAAATATATAAAGGAGGTAGAAGGCAACTTTTGGAGGTGATGGATGAGTTTATGGCTTTGATTGTGGTGATGGTTTCATGAGTGTATGCTTATCCCCATTAAATATGTACAACTTTTTGTATATCAGTCATACTTCAATACAGTGGTTTAAAAAATAAGGTATACAATTCAATGGTTTTTAGTATATTCACAGGTATGTGTAACCATCACCACAGTCAATTTTAGAACATTTTTATCAGTTCAGAAAGGAACTCTTGTACTTTTTAGCTATCACTCTACCTCCATTGCCCCATCCCTGTAGTCCTAGTCAACCACTAATCTACACCTTTTTTTTTTTTTTTTTTGAGATAGGGTCTTGCTCTGTCACCCAGGCAGGAGTGTAGGAGGGCAATCATAACTCACTGCAACCTCAATCTCCTAGGCTCCAGCCATCCTCCTGCCTCAGTCTCCCCAGTGGCTGAGACCTCAGGTGCATGCCACTATGCCGGGCTAATTTTTTTTGTTGTTAATTTTTTTTTAAGAGACGGGCTCTTGCTATGTTGCCCAGGCTGGTGGTGAACTTCTGAGCTCAAGCAATCTTCCTGCCTCCGTCTCCCATTAGTGCTGCCCACCACTAATCCACTTACTGTCTCTACAGCTTTTCCTCTTCTGGAGTTTCATATGAATACCAACATAGAACATGTGGCCTTTGGGACTGACTTCTTTCATGTGTCATAGTGTTTTTAAGGTTCATCCACATTGTGGCATGTCTCAGTACCTTATTCCTTTTTATGGACAAACAGTATTCGATTGTATGGATATACTACCATTTGTGTATATTTACCTATTCATGAATTGATGGACACTTGGGTTGCCTCCACCTTTTGGCTGCTGTGAATAATGCCACTGAGGTTAACAATAATGAGCCTTGAGGATGTTATGATGAGAAAAATAAGTTAGTCACATAAAAAAGATAAAGTATGATTCTACTTATACGAGGTATCTAAAGTGGTTAAATTCATAGAAACAGAAAATAGAATGACAGTTGCTGGGAACAAGGCGGGGTGGCAAGTGGGGAGTTGGTTAATGGGGAAGAGTTTAGTTTCACAAGTTTTTGTTTTGTTTTGTTTTGTTTTTGTTTGTTTGTTTTTTGAGCTGGAGTCTCACTCTGTCGCCAAGGCTGGAGTGCAGTGGCATCGTGTCAGCTCACTGCAACCTCCATCTCTTGGGTTCAAGCAATTCTCCTGCCTCAGCCTCCTGACTAGCTGAGATTACAGGCGCCCACCACCACCCCTGGAGAGTTTTAAAAAATATTTTTAGTAGAGATGGGGTTTCACCATGTTGGCTGGGCTGGTCTTGAACTACTGACCTCAGGTGATCCACCCACCTCGGCCTCCCAAAGTGCTGGGATTACAGGTGTGAGCCACTGTTCCCAGCCTAGTTTCACAAGTTCTGAAGCTCTGTTGCACAACAATATGAATATATTTAACACTACTGAACTGTATACATAAAAATGATTAAGACAGTAAAATTTACATTACGTGTTTTTTACCACAATTACAAACTTTACAAAGCATCTGTGCTTTATTCTCCCCTCCTTTCTTGTCGACTATTTTGCAGTTCAGGCCATGGTCCATGCTGGACTAGGCCTAACCAAGGTCAGGACCTATCTGGAGGGGCTCACAGGGCCCCCGAGGGGATGCTCATTTGAACACTTCCCCTGTTCTGCAGAGCACAACAAGAGGGTGAGGGCAGGGCCAGTTCTCCAGTGGCCACAGCTGGAGGCCCACTCGGTAGCCAGCAGGGACATATTGCATGCCAGGTACTCCCCATGAGGATGCTTCAGACCAGCTGGGGCCTTGGCATAGATTTTCTGGCTAGGCTAAAGTCATGCCCACTTCAGTCTCTCCATTTTTGCTCATTTCCAGTTGATTCCTCTTTGTGCCAATCATATATGCTGCTAGGAAGGGGAGAATAGACTTAAGTAGGCTTTAGGGTATAACCAAGAACACTATTTAGAAGAAAATATTTTGAAACAAGTAGGTGCGGGAAGAACCAATTTGTTCCTAAGCTTCTTACTGTGTAGTCAGAAAACCCCTATCTAAGTATTAAATAGATTTACTTTCACTCTGATAGCAACTATGAAAATAATTCTATCTGCCATCCATTGTATACTTACTATTTTTCCAAGGACTTAAAACAATTCTATTTCATTTCATCTGATAAAGCTAATATTACTACTCCATTTCACAGATGAGGACATGGAGGCCCAGAGAGAAACTTGCCCAAGAAGTAGAGCCAAGATTTGAATACATGCCTGTGTGAGTCCAAAGGAGTCCTGTAGGAATTCAAATATATGCCTGTATGAGTAATTATGAGTAATGACTCATAGTCGTTACTATACACAGACCTCTCTTATTAGTCTGTCAACATTTACAAAGTGCCCACTGTGGACAAGCTCCTGAACTAGGCTGTAATGGGAACACCAATAGAGGAGAGAGAAAAACCCATACATGGGGAATGGCAAAGGAATAACTTTAAGTAAATGCGTATAAGTATCACTGTACTATATATGAATGGGAAGGGTGAATATATAAGTTGACTACATACAGAAGAGAACAATAAACAGTCTAGCTGTATCTTTGAATCATAGGATTTTAGAGTTGAAAGGGATCGATCCGAGCCCCTGGGGCGAGGTAGGGGAAGCTGCTGGCTGCCGTTTTCGTGGTTTTCTCCCAGTGTCCAGTAGAAATGGCGGCGGCGCAAAGTATGGCTGGGCCAACCTAGGGTCCCCCAGGACCCTCCGCTCTGCGCGACAAGGGGCCCGCGCTCGCCAAGGCCGAGGGGCAGGAGTGAACGTGGCCCCCGTGGGTCTGCGGCCCCGACAGGCTAGCCAATTGTATAGAATTTAAATCATCTCTCAGATGTATACAGTAGAACTCAAGAAGACAGACTACCAAGGGTCATCTGAAGTCGTGATTGTCCTGGGTCACTAATAATAGCAGGACAAAGTTAGAGATCGCTACTCAAGCATAAGCCCCAGGCTTCATAAGACTGCAGAGAGGATGTTTGATATAAAGCCTTGGGCTGAGTATGTTGTGGAATGGGCTGCAAAGGACCCATATGGCTTCCTTACAGCGGTTATTTTGGCCCTTACTCCACTGTTCCTAGCAAGTGCTGTACTGTCTTGGAAATTGGCCAAGATGATTGAGGCCAGGGAGAAGGAGCAAAAGAAGAAACAAAATGCCAAGAAAACACTGCAAAAGCTAAACGACTAAAAAAGGATTGAAGGACTGAACAGGCTCTGCAACCAGAGGAAAATCATTTGGAAAATTATGCAGCTTTGGAAGAACCCACTAAAGTTTCTTCTTTGGATTTCTTGACAGTATTATTTAGTAAATGAAATCTGACCAAATGGAAGAATCATGTTTGCTCTGACCTCAATACTATAGTAACTTTTAGGCTTGGGTGTAGAAGTTTATAGGTTTCTATTGACAGTTATTATAAATTATCATTCACTGTGGTACAAATTCTTTATAACTGACTTAGTCATTTGCCGCTTAGCAGTTTATGTACTGAAATGAAAACATCCTGTGGGAAAAGTGACTTTAGATTATGAACTCAATTCAAATGAACTCTATTTAAAATGGAGTCCTATTTTGGAGAAAGGAAATTAAGAATGTAAAAGTTAGAACTGTATTGTTTGAGGTAAAAAGTGTGCTTTGGCTTAAAAGAGATACAATGTATTAATTATGTCTTTTATTATTATTGCTTATTTCTTAGAATCATTTCTGACTTTCTCAAAACAAAAATAATATTAATCAATGAATACTTCTATTTGCTGCATTTTTCTTATAACCTTTGAGACAATGGTAATTATCAAGTCATTTTGCATTTTTTAAAACACTTTTATAAAGAATTCTCTTATCTCGATTATGTAGAATACCACCTACTGGATAGAACAATTTTTGTACTCACAAACACTGCCATTTTCTTAGAGACGGCTTGCTGAGAGGAGTAACACTATGGTCTAAAGCTTGCAGGAAAAATGCTAAACACTGTAGTACTTTGGAACTGGTTTATTCTTGTGCTAAGCAGAACTATAAAATAGTTAAAATGTCTTATCAAGTAATTTGCCGATTATATAGACACCACTTTTGTTTTTTATTTCATTCTTTAACTCATGTGGTAGTAATATTTAATACTTTCTGATCCAATAGTTTCAAAGTAAAACTTTAAATTTCACATTTCTTTTAAAGAACTCGTAAAGCATAACAGTGACGTCATACTTCATAAGTGGTAAAGAAAGGTATAAAATTGGGAAACACGTTGTTAGGCCTAGTAGTAATTGGGTGAAAAGGATAAATTATCTCAAAATGAGAGTGTGCTGTAATTGGAAGGAAGGAGCTAAAGGATGTTTCTTTCAGTTAAGTAGTATAACTGGAAGGTTTTACTATTAAACATGGCTTTTATAAAAAAAGAAAAGAAAAGAAAAGAAAGGGATCTGGGGGGGTCATCTAATCCCACCTCTCACCCCAGACAGAGATCTCTTCTACAAGTATCTGTGGAAGTTCCAGTGTCAACCTAAAGGCAGTGAGCCAGTTCTTTTGTTTTCCAGGTTTTTGGTTATTATAAAGTTCCTGCTTTTCATCATCAAATCTGTCTCCCTTTGGGGAATTCTCCTATTGGTCCCAATTTTCCCCATGAATCTATAGCAAATAGTCACCCTTCTCATTGCCGTGACTGCCGTTCTTCACATGGATAAAGGGAAGACAAGCATGTGTTGACCACTTACTCTGCTCCAAACACATTCCAATAGTCCCACTCAATAGGGATGACAGTTTCTCATCTAAGGACTCCGAAGAGTCATTAGAGACATTAAGAGTCATTAGAGATATTAAGAAACTTGTCTAAGGTCACACCGTTGGAAGTACTGGAGCAGAGATTTGAACACAAACTCACCGCTTTTCTACTACACTACACTGCCTTTCAAAACCAGCTGTCATCACCATGCCTCTCATCTTCTCTTATAGACCATCTAGACCTGGTTTCTCCAGACTTTCCTTCTCAGGGGACAAGTTCTTTAGACCTCTCCTGATGTTGGTTTTTCTCTGAATAGGCTCCGGTTTGTCAATGTCTCTCTCAAAATGCACTGTAAGACCAGAGTTCAATACCCAGTGTGGCCAGACCATCCTGCCTGGCTTGCCTGCCCTGCATGCCATTTGCATGCCCAGGATGGCTTCACTGACTTAAGAAGCGTAGTAGACCTGTCACATGTTTGGGTTGGGCTGATCCTGATGTAGCTGCAACCTGGGTTTTTTTCATATGAGCTAGTTTCAAGTCACATTTCATCCATCCTTTACTTAAACCATTGCTTCTAATAAGCTTCATTGGGATCCTGTTGGATTCATTTATTGGTTTTGAGAGAGTATTTCAATTTGTTATACAGCATATTAGCTGCTTCTCTGTCTTTAGGCTATCTGAACATTTTAAAAGCTGGTCTTCAATGTTGTGATACAAGTCACTGATAAGAATGTTGAACATGCCAGGACCAAGAGCAGAGCCTTGAGACATCCATTGGAGACCTCCAACAGGGTGGCAATTCATCGATTAATTAATGCTCTTTCAGTACAGTTGTCTACGCAGCTGTGATTCCAGTGAGCTATTTTTAACTCCACATTTCATTTCTCTACCTCTTCACAGTTTATGTAATAGAAAGCTTTGCAAAACACCTGCTGAAATTAATCCAAAACATCCTTTTTTCCAAGTGTTTTCTGTAGAATGCTTGATCAGTGAGATGGTATTAAATAGGTTTTCTGGTGCAGGACTTCTCAGAACCTTTAATGTGCTAATGTGTCCTGTGAATCTTCAACGGAAACTATAATAGCACACTGCGTTTCCCAAAGTTGAGGTGGGTCCTTCATTTTATTTTATTTTTGCTTAGGTGGGTTATGTACTCTGCTGTTTGCTCATTTGTAGTATTCCCTTGATCTCCCAATCTGATAACTGTGTGTAAAAGCAATACAACATTAGCTCTACATGGCTTGTTCTTAGTGAACCTCTGCTAATGCCCAGTGATCAATGCTTGCTTCTTTAAAGATGGTCACATTTAATAATCTGCTCTAGAATTTTGCTGTGGATTAAGACCAAGCTTGTTGACCTGCAGTTTTCAAAATCTATTTTTTCTCTTCTCTCTCCTGATACAATACTTTCTTGTTTCTCAGGGGTTAACCCACCACAACTATGAACTTCAGCACTATATTTACTGCAACAGAAGCATATTTACTGCACCTAACATGGTCAGCTGCTATTGTGGGCTTCAGTTCTCTTCTATCCATGTCTGCACTGCCTTTCCTAGTTTGAACGGGATTCACTTGATGGAGAATATATAAACGAAATCTAAACAACTCAGGTTCATGGTCAAGGCAGATTCCTGACTGATGCTCCCTCAGATTTTCATGTTACTCACAAAAGGAGGTAAATGCCATGGGGGTAACGAGCTAGCCTGTGTGTCTTGCTACAGAACTGTTCTGATTGAGAATTAAAGGGTGAAGATGAGCTTCCTAGTGGCAGGGTAGGTGATGAAAAAGACCTTTTTCATCTTTTTCAGTGATGAAAAAGACCTGATAAATATTCAAGCAATGGAAACAGTCCAGAATGGCTGGGGACAGAGATGAGGGGAGAAAGTGACTAGGGGCATGGCGGAGGGCTAGAGCGTGGCTTATGAGCCCTGATAAAGGGAAAATAAAAATCACAGAAGGAACTGCAGCAGCGAGAGAGACACAATCAGATTGAACTCTATTCCCAAGGAGTGAACACCCATTCTTTTGTCTCCTACTCTTGTTCTATATGTGGAGTTTGTAAGCTGTGCCCATTTCCTTTTAAATAATAGTCCTTTGCTTTTTCTAAACACCTCAAATCACCTCAGGGTTGGCCACTCCTGATACTCTACTTTTGAGGGGTTTTTTGCCACTCTTGATAAGCATCCTTGGCTGGCTGCAACCTATTTTTGTATATACATGCCCTTTAAAGTTCTGAACTGTTGGTCAGTGATAGAAGGCTTCAGAGAGTGGAGCTGGCTTCTGAAGATGAGAAATGTGGTGTCAGGGAAGAGAAAAAGAAGTTTGGTGGAAAGGACACATTCTCTAAGTGTATGAAGCCCCAAGGCTGCACAAGCAACGTGTGGTTCATCTTTAGTGGCTCATGGGTGGACGTGGTGTACAAGGGCAAGAAGCTAGGAGTAGGAATCTGAAGGTGGCCTGAACCCTGGCTCTGCTATTACCAGCTGCGTGGCCCTGGCCAAGTCATTGCACTACTCTGGGCCTCAATGTCTTGACCTATGCAATGTAAGGGGTTCAACCAAGGCTTGACCCTGAGCCCCTCCTTCAAACTTCTTCGTTGCTCCTTGTCTCCCCTGTCTGCATGTGTATGTGTTAGCATGTGATAGCTATCTCATGCAGGGTGTTCTGCCATCCAGGCCACAGCCTTCTTCTTGAACTGTTTGCCAGTCAGAAGTTGGACTGCAGATACAGCATCTGGGAGCAACTCTCCTTGGATAGGAAAGAAGGTGAAAATGTGCTATTCTGTTTTATTTCCCCAGTCATCTTTTAATGTAGCCCAGACTCTGGCTTCCATCAGCAGAAGAGATCAGTAGGTGGATTATGGGATTGTAATCTTACAGAACGACGAGTCCACCTCTCCCTGTGGCCAAGTGAATGATTCACGTTTGGCTCAGTTAACACTAGGGAGAAGTCAGATTAACACAGTCACTTGCTTGGAAATGGAGGTTGTTGCACATGGGGCTGGCTTTCTTGAGAGCACACATTTTCAAAAAACACAAATATGTTTTGTTCAGGGATAAAATGTTCTCAGGGGTCCATCATTGCCTGTCTGGAAACCTTGCAGTAAGCGGATGCAGGAGGGGAGATCATTTAATAGTTCCCCAACCTAAACTCACCACGACAGGATAGAGTTAGGAGGATGAAAGATAATTAGTTCAGTTTGGGGAGAACCACCAATGGAAGTGCCTTTTCTTTAGGACTCTTTTTTGATCAGAGCAGTAACTAAGCCTCAGAAGACACAGAAGGAAGAACGTCTTCCCTAGATGCAGAGCAGATGCAGCCCCTGGCAGCCTAGACCCTGGGGCTCAGCAAAGCTCCGGAAAATCCCCCACAAACATTGCAGTCCCATCTGAAAACCAGAAGGGCGGTGGATTCCATCAGGAAGGAAGCAGCTCTCATATGGAACTGTGAGATGCACTGAAGTGGATCCAGCCAGCTCCTTATGGGGAAAGAGCCATAAAACTGGAACTTGGGGACCTGCTGCAGCAGAACTTTTTGTTTTGCTTTTGTGGCCCAGCGAAGCACCCACTTGCAATACTCTCCATTAGCAAGTTGTTCCGGGGAGGTGACAAATCTCCA